AATCACTAAGAGAGATGAGAAGAGTGGACTATAAACTATTTCTCCAGGCCCTGAGAGCTCTCAGTCAAAAAGCAGAGGGGATCAGATTGTAGTTCCTAAACAAACTCATTCAGTCAGCAATACTGGGAAATAATGCCCACTTCTCCTATTGAGACCAGGAATTTAGACGTGTGGGCTGCAAGATTTGCACCCAAAGAATTAGAGCAGTAAAAAAGCATAAAAATCAGACAATCAGGGAAGACTTGTGGTTCTGGTTCTGCGTCTTACTTACCTCTTAAAATAGAAAGGCCACACGAGGTCAGGGTGGTTAAGCAGCTCTGCAAAATAACATCTGTAGTAATAAGCAATGGAACATGGCTTCATGCACTTGATGAGAGCAATAAGCAATAAAAACAGACCTGTTAGTATCAGCCAGTAATGATGAACTTTAGAACAAATAAGCAAAAAGGAAGTTTAGGAGATAACTAAGAGAATTAAAGATGTCTTGGGTCTTCACAGTCAGTGCTAGAAAAAATCTTCATGGACTTTTCCAGTGTATTTACAGTAGGGAGTATGCAAAAAGTGATGATGCAACCAAATCAAAATGTGCTTCAGGAAAGGAGTGAAATTTATGACACTCAGTCATTTTTTCCTACAGTTAGCTCTGAGAAGTCCATAAATCATCAATCACCTAATTAAGACTTTCTTTTAAAAGATGATAACCAGATCTTCAATGTGTGCACCTCACTGTCAAACCTAATCACAAGTGATAAGACTCACTTTCTATGCTGGTTAGTTGGTGGAGAGTCAAATCAGCTGTAAAACAACCAAAGTGCATGCATTAGGAGAGAGGAATAGCAACGAACCAAATGTCTTCAACCTGAATAACCTCCTTGCAATGGAAAAGCAAACATGGTATAATTTGACTGAATATTGATTAAAGCTCTAAAGGTAATATAGCATGATGGGTAAGCACTCAGGCTCAGGAATCAGACCGTGTGGGGTTAAAATCCTGGTTCCACCATTTGATAGATGTTTGACCTTCAGCAATTACTAAACCCCTTTAAGACTTAGTGCTTTCATCTGTGAAATGGAGATAATGGTCATATATATCTCATGTAGTTGTAAGACTTTAAGAAACTCTGTATGCTAAGTGGTCAGTATGCTGCTGGCACATAAGATAGCTATTGTTAAAATAGTTAAAATAAGTAATTGTAAAAATGAAAGAGAAACATGATTTCATACAATGATACAAAGAAGACATTAAGTAGCTTACAAATAGCAATGGAGATTTCTTCCAGGGGCAAATAGGCATGTTTAAGGGGGAAAAATTTAGTGCAGACAACTTACTGTGCATAACTTCTGTATTCAACAAAGATAGACTTTTGTAGCTGCTCAGATGATACTTTTTTTTTTTTTTTTTTTAAACAGTTCTTTGATGGCAGGGAGGTAAGATTAGGGAACCCTAGGAGGTAAGTGGCTTCAAATAACTGTGAAAGTTAGGCATTTTGAAAGAAAGTTTTGGGTATTAACACTCTGGTATTTTATCAGGAGACATACTTATAAGCATTTATTGACGAAAGACAAAAAAGGTTAGTTTTTAAAAGAGGAAGTCCTTGCTTGAGTCATTTGATGAGTTGCGTTTATATACATCTTTGATAACAGTAATCATTGAAATATAGGAAAGTCTTTGACAATTAAAATCCTTGAAGCTAAAATTACAAAGGAAAGATTATAAGACATTTCCATGTTCTCATATAACTTTTCTCAATGCTATATCTGAATTATAATATTGACTTAAATGTTCCTATTTCCAGATTAATTTTAAAAGGAGGGAATAGTATACTTTTAAAAACTCATGTCACTGCAGTAATTACAGCCTAGTTGTATACCAGCGAGCACAATTCACAGGGTGACTTGTTGACAGTTTACAGGCGTACTAGGAATAAAGGATTTACTTTCTTGACAGAAGGCTGTCTCCAGGCCTCCAGATAAAAAAGCATGAAACTGAAATTTCAAAGAACTTTCTAGTTGAAGGTGGTTCAGAGAGTTCCTTTGTATAATGGATTAAATGTCCTTGTATGGCCTCTCAAGCTGACATTAAATACCTGTGTCCTGTTTGCCCCACCTTCCCATCAAAATGGTCTCACAACAGTCATTCCAGATTATTAATCCTTTTTAATAATCAACACCCACTTTGTATTACTTCTTCATGGAAAGTGGTAGTTTTGCTTTACCCACTTCTATTTGGCCCCATTGATGAATTTTTCAAGAATAGATAGGCGCTTGTTCAATTACCAGTAAAGGACTGTGCCAAGAGAAAAGAATCAGTTTCCCTTTCTAGCCTCCTTCTCTTTCCCTTCAGGAAGTCTCATTAACCACCCAGGTGACTTGGTTTCCTAATGTGTGAAATAGAATGATGCTGACACAAAAGGAGAATTTGTGTGTGAAAACATGTTGTAGGTTAAAAGTGCTCTGAAAATAAAAGGTATCATTATTAGAACTTCTCAGCCCTGATTAA